ACACACACACACACACACACACACACACACACACACACACACCCTTTCCGACTGCAGATGACAGTTTCCGACTGATTAACCTGCCCGTACATCGTCCTCCGATCTGCTCCGCTAAAGAACACGTTCATCTTGTTTGTTGACCTAAGTCTTTGTAATAATAGTGTCACATTGCGGTGGAATCAGGCGCTCGTCAGTATTTGGGCATGTGGAGTTATTGGTATAATCTTAAAACTTCTTCATTTTTCTTCCTTTCAATTTAAAAAATACCAATTTATCTGGAATAGAAGTGCAGATATTCGCGATTGATGCAAGTGGAGGTCGCCCTGTTTCCAAGGTACAATTAGCTAGAAAATGGACGCCTAAGTTTGGTGAATTCTTTGGAAATTGAAAATGTACATTTATTGTAACTTCAATCATCGATTTTCAGTAAAAACCCATACAGAGTAAATATGTTTTTAAATGAACATAAAACGTGTTCAGCCAAGAAACAAAAATTTGATCAAAATTGACGAACAGACGGGAATAAAATGCCATTTTCTTCGGTTTCATTATTTTGACGAGCGCCTGATTTCACCACGCTGCGTCACCTTTGTGTTCGGTGATTAGATTGGTTAGTCGCCCCTCCCCCCTCCCCCTCTCCCAGAACCCGCCACGTGAGCAGCGCACAGCGTCAAGATCAAATCCAGTTAGGTAAAGACAAAGCCCTGAAGTTGAGTAACCGTCGACACCGCTGTCTAATCACTGGTGTGAGGAACAAAAACAGGGTCAGAGCAAGAACGTCCTGTGTACACTTCTCACGTGGCGATGTGCGGCCAAATATGTTGCTTTTCGACTGCTCTGTGTAAGAAAGACTTTGTCATACGTCACTTTTCAAAATGTCCAAGTCTTGCACTGAGGATTTGAGCTCACGTGATGATGACTCCAGTGACGTACTACACGCAAAAACGAGATTTTTTTTAAAGAAAGACAAAAAGAATTGAACAAGAAAAGATCGCTATAAAACTGTTAACTCTGTAACGAAATTGCTCATCATGCTTCTCGTATTCTTGTCTTTGCAGTTGTGGAAACCAAGTGATCACTTTCCCACACCAGCACAAACAGACTGTGATAACCTTGACGTGATAAAACATCAGGTGAGTCTTTCTACATTTATTTACTTCTAGCTCTATAAGGACTTATTTTACGAGCCGAATTTTGTGTCAATTTTACACCCTTTCAAGACT